TAGGTGGACCCGAAGAAGATTGAGATAGTCAAGAACTGGCCTAGACTAGCATCAGCTACAGAGATTCGGAGTTTCTTGGGGTTGGCAGGCTAATATCGTCAGTTTATGGGGGGTTTTCATCTATTCAGCCCCGACGACCAGGTTGACCCAGAAGGGTGCCCAGTTCAGATGGTCGGATAAGTGTGAGGTGAGCTTTCAGAAGCTCAAGACAGCTCTGACTACGGCACCGGTGTTGGTTTTGCCCACATGTTCAAGACCTTATACAGTCTATTGTGATGCTTCCCGTATTGGGCTTGATGCAGTGTTGATGCAGGATGGCAAGGTCATTGCCTATGCTTTGAGATAGTTGAAGATTCATGAGAAGAACTATCCAGTGCATGATTTAGAGTTGGCATCCATAGTTCACGCATTGAAGATTTGGAGGCATTATCTATATGGCGTGGCATGTGAGGTGTTCACAGATCACAAGAGTCTTCAGTACTTGTTCAAGCAAAAGGAGTTGAATTTGAGGAAGAGGTGGTTGGAGTTGTTGAAGGATTATGATATCACTATCCTATATCAACCGGGGAAGGCCAATGTGGTGGCCGATGCTTTGAGTAGGAAGTTAGCCAGTATGGGCAGTCTTGCTTATGTTCCGGTCAGTCAGAGGCTGCTTGCTTTGGATGTTTGGGCTTTGACCAATCAGTTCATGAGACTGGATGTTTTTGAGCCTAGTCGCGTGTTAGCTTGCACGGTCGCTCGTTCTTCATTATTGGAGTGTATCCGTGACCGGCAGTTTAATGATCCCCATTTGTGTGTCCTTAGAGATACGGTGCAGCGAAGAGGTAACAGGCAGTTTACATTAGATGCGGATGGAGTCTTGAGATTGCAGGGGTGAGTTTGTGTGCCCAATGTGGATGGGCTTCGAGAGTTGATTTTAGAGGAGGCCATATCTCCCGGTACTCTATTCATTTGGGCGCCGTGAAGATGTATCAAGATTTGCGGCAACATTACTGGTGGCGTAGAATGAAGAAGGATATCATAGCATATGTGGCTCGTTGTATGAATTCTCAGCAGGTTAAGTACGAGCATCAGAGGCCTGGTGGTTTATTTCAGAGGATTGAGCTTCCCGAGTGGAAGTGGGAGCGGATCACTATGGATTTTGTTACTGGACTTCCGCTGACTCGGAAGAAGTTCGATGCGATATGGGTCATTGTTAATAGGCTGACCAAATCAGCGCATTTCATTCATGTGACAGTCTCCTATTCTTCTGAGAGGTTTGCTGAGATCTATATTCGGGAGATTGTTAGCCTTCATGGTGTGCCCGTGTCTATCATTTCGGATCGGGGTACGCAGTTTACCTCGCGCTTATGGAGAGCAGTTCAACGAGAGTTGGGCACACGGGTTGAGTTGAGCATAGAATTTCATCCCCAGACGGACGGTCAGTCCGAGCGGACTATTCAAATTTTAGAGGATATGCTCCGAGCTTGTGTTATTGACTTTGGAGGTTTGTCGGATCAGTTCTTTCCTTCAGCGGAGTTTGCCTACAACAACAACTACCAGTAGAGCATCTAGATGGCTCCTTATGAGGCTTTGTAGGCGGTGTCGGTCTCTGGTTGGATGGTTTGAGCCGGGAGAGGCTCGGTTGTTGGGTACAGATTTGGTTTAGGAGGCCTTGGACAAGGTCAGGATTATTCAAGATAGGCTTCGTTCAGCTCAGTCTAGGCAAAAGAGTTATGCAGACCGCAAGGTTCGAGATGTGGCATTTATGGATGGTGAGCGGGTATTGCTCCGAGTGTCACCTATGAAGGGCGTAATGAGGTTTGGGAAGAAGGGAAAGCTTAGCCCTAGGTTCATTAGTCCGTTTGAGATTCTTGATCGAGTGGAGAGATGGCTTATAGACTTGCATTGCCGCCTAGCTTATCAGCCGTGCATCCAGTTTTTCATGTGTCCATGCTTCGGAGGTATCACGGCGATCCAGCCCACGTGTTAGATTTCAGCATTGTCCAGTTGGACAAGGACTTGTCTTATGAGGAGGAGCCGATAGCTATTCTAGACCGGCAGGTTCGTCAGTTGAGATCCAAGAGTTTCCCTTCTGTTCGTGTTTAGTGGAGAGGTCAGCCTCCTGAGGCATCGACCTGGGAGTCCGAGTCTGATATGCGGAGCCGTTATCCTCATCTTTTTTTCGACTAAGGTACTTCCTACTTTTGTCCGTTTGAGGACAAAAGGTTGTTTTAGAGGCGGAGAATGTGACGATCCAAAGGGGTCATTACCAATTTTCTTACCCATTTTATACTTCTGAGGCCTTGAAAACCTCCTTAAGGGTTGCCTCAATTTGCATGCGCAGTCCGGACGCGTAGTCAGAAAGCTTAAATATGAATTATGTGAGAAAAATGCTAAGTTTTGATATTTAAATAAATAAATTTGACTTCGGTCAACATTTTGGGTAAACGGACCCGGACCCGTGATTTGACGGTCCCGGAGGTCCGTAGGAAAATATGGGACATGGGCGTGTGCCCGGAATCGAATTCCGAGGTCCCAAGCTCGAGAAATAAATTTTTGTGTGAAATTATTTTCTGAAAATAATTAAGGAAATTGGAAATAAAATTTGATTAGAAGACTATGGTATCGGGCCCGTATTCTGGTTTCGGCGCCCGTTATAAGTCTTATATATGATTTAAGCACTTTCTATAAAGTTTGGTTGAAAACGGACGTCGTTTGACGTGTCTCGGACTTAAAAATGGAAATTTGATGTTTTATGAAAATTTGGAAGGAATCATGGATTTTGAGGCTTAATTCGATGTTATGATGTTATTTTGGAAATTTGATCGCACGGATAAGTCTGTAGGATGTTTTTGAGGTTGTGTGTATGTTTAGTTTGGAGCCCCGAGGGCTCGGGTGAATTTTGGATAGGCCGTGAGTGCATTTTTAACCTTTGTAAAAAAAATTTGCCATTTCAGTTCTGGTATCTTCGCATTTGCGAAGAAGGTCTCGCAAATGCGAGCCTTGCATCGCAAATGCGAGACTAGGGATTCGACTGCCTGATCGCAAATGCGATCTACTTATTCACAAATGCGAATAGGGGCAAGTCGCAAATGCGACATAACTGGTCGCAAATGTGAACTTGGGGTTTTGAAAGGGTTTGCAAATGCGAACTATTTTCTCGCGATTCCCATAACAGGTCGGTGTTCGCAATTGCGAACCCCAGTTCGCATTTCCCATATCTGCAACCTGCATTTTTCATACTTAGTCGACTTTTGAACCATTTTCACCATTCTTTCAAAACCCAAACAAATTTAGGCGATTTTCCAATAACAAGACTTCTTCCAAATCATTTGTAAGTTGATTTTTACTCATTTCTTTCAATCATTAACATCATTTAACATGTTTCAACTTAAAATCAAGGATTTTCATGGGTGAAATTGGGTGTTTTGGGTAGAACCTAGGTTTTTTCTAAAATTGGGGATTTGGACCACAATTTGAAATTCGATTTCAAAACAAATTATATATTTGGGTTCGTGAGGGAATGGGTAACCGGGTTTTGGTTCGAACCTCGGGTTTTGACCACGTGGCCCCGGGGGCATTTTCGACCTTTTTGGGTAAAACCTTTTAAAACTCATTTCAAGCATTGGGGTTGATTCATTTAGTGTTTATTAATGTAATTAAGGAAATTGTGGCTAGATTCGAGCGGATTGGAGGTGGAATCACGGGGTAAAGCTATAGTTGAGGCTTGAGTTGAGTTCAAAGCATCGAGGTAAGTGCTTGGTTTAACCTTAGCTTGAGGGATTAGGAGTTGAGTCTTAATTGCTATGTGGTATTGGTCGAGTACGATGTGTAGGTGGTGATGAGTATCTACACGTTGGTGTCTAGCTTGACCGTGGGTCTTTAAATTGTGAATATTTTGAATTTGCTATATTCTAATGCCTTGGTGATGGTTTTTTATTGCTGATGATGATTCTTATTTGTTGAGAAAGGTTTGTGAAAGTATACGAAATAATTGAACCCTTTGGAGCATTGGCTCAAGTGGTAAAGTGAGATATGAAATGAAAGTGATAGGAGAGAATGAGTTGTTAAATTGTTCCCTTGCCGGGATGTTGAGATTGTTGAGGTTATGCCCTTGCCGGGATTAATTGTTTAATTGTGTTCCCTTGCCGGAATTTCTATTATAAATTTGTTAATTCCCTTGCCCTTGTTTGTGATTGTTGTTTGGGTGGGGAAGAGTGTTAAAGCACGAAGGGTGATGCCGTGCATTGTTTATTTATTGTAAGGAAAGAGTGTAAAGCACGAAGGGTGATGCCGTGCAATGATTGCTTATTATGAGGAAAGAGTGTTAAAGCACGAAGGGTGATGCCGTGCCGCACGATGTACCATTCCGTGCCGATTCTATTTATTTTATGTGAGGAACGAGAGCAAAAGCACGAAGGGTGATGCCGTTTACATGTTATTGCTTAGTAAGTATTGGAGTAAAAGCACGAAGGGTGATGCCGTGCACTTGCTGATTTCTATTTTCATTACTTACGATTGAGTTGTGTTTTTATTTCCTTCGTTACCGGACGACTCTTATTTGGAAATTGTTGTTTCCCCACAGCATGCTCCCCCTCCCATACTATTTATCTACCCTTGTATTTTGATTTCGTGGTATATATATGAAATTGCACAGGTTTATGTGGTAGTCCGGTCTAGCCTCGTCACTACTTTGCCGGGGTTAGGCTAGGCACTTACCAGCACATAGGGTCTGTTGTGCTGATACTATACTCTGTGCTCTTTTCCACAGATCCAGGTTTTGGACAGCATCAGCAGTAGCACGGGAGCCAACCTTCAGTCTACTGAGACACCGAGGTAGCCTTGCAGGCATCCGTAGGCCCGACGTCTCCTCTATCCTTTACTTTAGTCTGTTATCTCATCGTACTCGAGACAAACAATTATATTTTCTTTCAGACATCGTATTTAGTACTCTTAGTAGTTCGTAAGTGTTGTGACACCAGTCTTGGGTAGAGGCTTATGTTGAATTTTCCGCATTTCTATTCAGTTTTCTGTAATTTAAGACTTTCGCTTACTTAATTAATTCCGTTGCTTTTATATTATTTCCGATAATTGTTAAAGAGGATTATGTGGTTAATGAAAAAGTAATTAAACATTGGCTTGCCTAGCTCCCATTAGTAGGCGCCATCACGACTCCCGAAGGTGGGAAATTCGGGTCGTGACACAATAGGATATTGGCAATGTGCTGCATGAGAAGAGTTAGGCTTTTGTATTGGCCCAACATAATCCTTAAGCCAAATAGGAGGCTTTGAAGTTTTCCCTGATCTCTTTAATTTACCAACATTAGTCTCATGCTGTCCTGTAGCTGATACCTCTATATGTGGTAGAGAATGAGAGTCCAAAGGTGGATTAATGTTTGTAGGAACAGATTCTGCGGGTGCAAGAGATGCAGAAAAGTGTGGATCGTTCTTGTCACTGATAGTAAAGGGCAAAACAATGGGAGGCTGATCTGGATTAGGATCAACCTTCTGAAATTCATCTACAAAGAGAGAAGAGTCTTGATGAAGACCTTGAAATGGATACACATCTTCATGAAATATCACATCTTTACTGACAAAGAGTGTCTTGTGCTCAATATCATGCAACCTATATCCCATTTGTGTGCTTGCATATCCCAGAAACACTGATCTTATAGACCTAGCTGCAAATTTGTCACCTCTTGGTAACCTTGCTACAAAAGACAAACACCCTATAATTCTCATATGTGACAACGCAGGCTGTCTCCCATAAAATAACTCAAAAGGTGACTTGTTCCCTAATACCGTGGAGGGAATTCTGTTTATTATATACACAACTGCATCTACACAAGCACCCCAAAAACTCACTAGCAAGTTCCCCTGAAATCTGATGGCCCTTGCAGTCTCAAGAACATGTCTATGTCTCTTTTCCACCACTCCATTTTGTTGAGGAGTGTGTGGACATGAACTTTGATGTATAATTCCATGCATTTGGAACAATGTTTCACAATTATGGTTAAAGAATTCAGAACCATTGTCTGACCTAAAACACTTGATCATTTTACCAAACTGCGTTTTTACCATAACAATGAAAATTTTCAATACTGTAATAGCATCAGATTTAAGATGTAAGAAGAAAATCCAAATCAACCTAGAGTTATCATCAACCATTGTGAGAAAATATCTCTTTCCATTATATGTAGGGACTTTATATGGTCCCCAACATCCATGTGTATCAAATCAAATACATTCTCTGCTCTACTGTTACTGACTGGAAAAGAAGTCCTAGCTTGCCTGGCTAAAGGACAAATGTCACAAGGACTTATTTCTGCTCTACTGCTACTATGTATACTAGGGATTTTCTTAAGAACTTGAATTAGAACATGTCCCATTCTCTTGTGCCACAGCTCAACTTCATTCCTGTGGGCAATCATCACCAATGACCTAGTTTTATTCTTGTTTCTCCTTTGTGAATGCAGTACATACAATCCTTCTTCTTCCTTACCAATATCCTTCACCCTCCCAGAGAAGAGATCTTGAAATATGCAGAAATTTGGAAAAAATGCAGCACAACAGTTTAAAGCTTTTGTCAGTTGAGACACAGACAAGAGATTAAACTTGAAAGCTGGTACACACAAGACATTGTTAATAGTATCACCTCCATCTAATCGACAACTACCAACATGTGACACCTTAGTAGACTCTCTAGTAGGGAGCTGTACATTTCTTGCATTACCTACTAATAATTTTTCAAGAAGAAGTTGTTCATTACCAACCATATGATTAGTAGCTCCAGTATCTACTATCCATTTCTCATCAGTATTTGGTTCATAAGAAACATTACCTGCCATGTGTGCACTGTCAGATGATTCAGAGAGTGATGCCTTGTTCAGTAGGCTTAGAATCTGACCATATTGCTTAGGAGTGAACATTTGCATAGGCCCCAGACTCTGTTGCCCCTGATGATTATGTGGTTCAATAGTGAACTCCTACATAGGTCCCAAATGTTACTCTTATGTCATCATGACCGATGAAGATGGAGATGGTTTGTTACTTGAACTTCCAACCATATTAGCTCGTTTCTGAGGCTTAAAATCTGCAGGATACCCTATCAACTTGTAGCAATTGGCCCTTAAATGTCCCTTCTTATTTCAGTAATCACACTTCATCAGCTTGTAACATTCCTCCTTAGTATGTCCTTTTAAATGATAGAAATCACATTCAACATTGAAATTCCTTCTTTGTTTTTGACCAATCTTAGAGCTGAACAGGGCAGTAGGATCAATAGACTCAGCACTATAACTGCCACTTGCTACTAGTTTTTGACTTTCATCTTGAAGAATCATAGCATAGGCTTGATTAACAGTTGGAATTTTAGATTTCATTATGATTTGTCTACGAGCTTGACTGTAGCTATCATTTAATACCATTAAAAATTGCCATCAACGTTGATATTCCCGTCGTTCAATGAATTTCTTCGACTTATCACAGCAAATAGGGGGAGGCATAATCGAATCATATTCATCCCATAAGTCCTTCAATTTCGAGTAGTAGACTGAAACAGACGATGTACCTTGTGTTAATGAAAAAATCTCCCTGTGTAAGTAGTACATTCTCGATGCATTGACCTTATCAAATCGTTCCTTGAGATCCGACCAAATTGCATATGCACTTGACCAAAATAATACTCCACTCAGAAAATCATGACTCACATTGTGCATTATCCACGACTTCACAATAGCATTGCATCTATCCCAAAGATTTGCATGAGTGTCTCCATAAGTGTCACACGTCACTGAACAATCGATAAACCCTAATTTGTTCCGTGTTAGTAACGAAACCTCCATCGCTTGGCTCCATATCGTGTAATTTCCCATTCCTTGCAGCTGAAAACCAAGTGACAATGCTCCCGGTGTATCTGATGGGTGCAAATACAGCGGATGATTATGATCTATTGTCACTGTCGATCGATTAGTTACCTCCTCTATACGACTGGCAGCTTCATCTCCGGCCATGACTATTTAGAACTCCGACGAGCGATTGACCTTTTCTGGCTAGAAAATTTTGAGAAACAACCGATGAATCTCTTGTTTTCAACAATTCTCAGTGAATACCTTTAGATTCAACCGTCTACATGCTCTGATACCATGTCAATTTTATGAATCTGAGATCGATAATTTGAGAGAAGAAATGAAGAAGAAAGAAAGAAGCAATTCTCATTAATGTTCAAAGTCTGAATAATGTCTGTATAATCTACACTAATAAGCTATAGTAGTAAATGCCTAATTACGGTGATAACCTCCTAACTACTAACTATGGTTAACTATTAATTACTAACTATAGTTAAGTTAACCTGGGTCATGACCATTATATGGCTCATTAAATAATTATGCTAAAAATAACATTGAGATGTCACGACCCGAATTTCCCACCCTCGGGAGTCGTGATGGCGCCTACTATTGGGAGCTAGGCAAGCCAAGTTTAATTACCTTTCCATTAAGGATCTAATCCATTTTAACAATTACGGCAAAAATATTAAAGCAACGAAATTCAATAATAAGCGAAAGTCTTAGAATTATATAAAACTGAAAAGAAGTGCGAAAAGTTCAACAAAATCCTCTACCTAAGACTGGTGTCACTGTACTCACGAACTGCTAAGAATACTAAATACAACGTCTGAAAGAAAGACAAATTGTTTGTCTCGAATACAACGAGATAACAGACTAAAAGAGATGATAAGGGAGACGCCGGACCTGCGGACGCCTGCAAGGCTACCTCGGGTCTCGTTGGACTGAATGCCTGCTCCCACACTAATGCTGCTGTTGTTGCTGTCCGAAACCTGGATCTGTGCAAAATAGCACAGAGTGTAGTATCAGCACAACCGACCCCATGTGTTGGTAAGTGTCTAGCCTAACCCCGGTGAAGTAGTGACGAGGCTAGACTGGACTACTACATAAACCTATGCAATTATATATGTACAGCGGAATCGAAATACAAGACAAGTAAACAATATGGGAGGGGAAGCATGTTGTGGGGAGATAACAGTTTCCATTATAAGTTGACTAATACGAAGGAAAAACTCAACTCATCCAACAATAAGGAACATAGATCAACAAATGCACGACATCACCCTTCGTGCTTTTACTCTCGTCCTCACCAATGAATAACATAACAAACGTGCACGACATCCCCCTTCGTGATTTTAATCTCATTCCTCACATGTAATCAATAAAATTGGCAAGGAATGACACATCATGCGGCACGTCATCACCCTTCGTGCTTTACTCTCTTTTCCTCACAATAAGAAAATAATGCACGACATCACCCTTCGCGCTTTACTCTCTTTCCTCACAAGAAACAAACAATGCACGACATCACCCTTCATGTTTTACACTCTTTCCTCACCCAATCAACAATCACAATCAAGGGCAAGGGAATAATAAACAATAATGGAAATTCCGGCAAGGGTACATAAACAAACAATTAAAACCTGGCAAGGGTACAACATCAATAATCTCAACGAGGGCAAGGGAAAATATTCAATAACCAACAACATCCCGGCAAGAGAATAAATCATTAACTCTTTTTCTTTCTTTCACTTTCACCTCATAGTTCACATTATCACTTGAGCCAATGCTCCAAAAATTTACTTATCTCATATACCTTCACAATTTGTATTTCATCTCGAGCCAATGCTCCACGAAGTTCAAAGATCACAATTTCTTTCACAAGCTCTTTACAACATGTAGAAGTCATCAATTAAGCATGGAAGGCATAATAACATCCGAACTATTCACAAAATAAGGACTCACGGTCATGCTAGACACCAATGTATAGATACTCGTCACCATGTCCATACATCGTACTCGACAATTAACAAGTAGCAAACAAGACTCAACTCCTATTCCCTCAAGCTAGGGTTAAACCAAACACTTACCTCGATGCCTTGAACTCAACTCAAGCCTCAACTATGACTTTACCCCGTGATTCCACCTCCAATCCGCTCGAATCTAGCGACAAATTACTTAATTACTTTAAGAAACACTAAATGAATCAATTTGAATGCATAAAAATGAATTTCCCAAAGTTTTTACCAAAAATTCCAAAATCTCCCCTGGGCTCACGTGGTCAAAACCTGAGGTTCGAACCAAAACCCGGTTACCCATTCCCCCACTAACTCAAATAAGTAATTTGTTTTGAAATCAGATTTCAAATTGAGGTCCAAATCCTCAATTTTTTTAGAAAACCTAGGTTTTACCCAAAACCCCCAATTTCACCCATGAAAATCATTGATTTTAAGTGGAAAACATGTTAAATGATGTTAATGATTGAAAGAAATGAGTAGAAATTAACTTACAATTGATTTGGAGAAGAAAGATTTCTTGGAAAATCGCCTATGGGTGTTTGTGTTTGAGAAAATGTGAAAAATGAAGTTCAAAATCGGTTAAGTATAAAATATGCTGGGCTGCGGATGTGGGAATTGCGAACCCTGCAGGCATGGAAACTGCGAGAAACATATTCGCATTTGCGAACTCAGGCCAGATGGGAAGATATCGCATTTGCGAGAAAAGGTCTCGCATTTGCGAAGGCTGAACCTCCGCATTTGCGTAGGAAAAGGCCGCATTTGCAATCAAGCTGCCCACCCCCCATCTTCGAATTTGCGATGAGCAGCTAACAATTGCGAGTTCGCATTTGCGAATGCTGGCTTCGCAAATGCGAAGCCTGCAGATCAGTGATACCAGATTTTTCCAAAGTCTAGAAATGCAACCCGTGGCCTATCCAAAACTTACCCGAGCCCTCGGGGCTCCAAACCAAACATACACACAACCTCAAAAACATCCTACGGACTTATCCGTGCGATCAAATCGCCAAAATAACATCATATACATTAAATTAAGCCTCAAAATCCATAATTTCTTCCAAATTTTCATAAAACATCAAATTTTCCATTTTAAGTCCAAAACACGTCAAACAACATCCGTTTTCGACCAAACTTCACGAAAGCGCTTAAACCATATATAATACTTGTACTGGGTGCCGGAACCAAAATACGGGCCCGATATCACAGTCTTTTAATCAAATTTCATTTCCAATTTCTTTAATTATTTCCAGAAATCAATTTTACACAAAAATTCATTTCTCGGGCTTGGGACCTCGGAATTCGATTCCGGGCATATGCACAAGTCCCATATTTTCCTACGGACCCTCCGGAACCGTCAAATCACGGGTTCGGGTCCGTTTACTCAAAATGTTGACCGAAGTCAAATTTATTCAATTTAATATCAAAATTTAGCATTTTTCTCACAGAATACATATTTAAGCTTTCCGGTTATGCGCCCGGATTGCGCACGCAAATCGAGGCAATCTCAAATGAGGTTTTCAAGGCCTCGGAAGCACAGAATGAGTAAGGAAACAAGTGATGACCCTTTGGGTCGTCACATGAGAAAAATAGAAATAAAAATAAAAAATCAAAATAGTGTGATGAATAAAAATAGCTAGCAATCTTAGACAAATCACTATCTGACTGTCACGACCCAATTTCCAAACCCGGTCGTGACGGCGCCTCTCGTGAAGAGAAGGCCAGCCAACTAACCCAAATCGTCTCTTTAACATTTATTAAACATAAACGAATAGGTAAATATAGCTTAACGACAATAATAACCAGTATGTACAACCCAACACAACCCGACCGAGGTGTCACAAGTCATGAACATCTAAAGAAACCTGAACACAACTACAGGGCCAATAATAATATATAAAGAAAAATTCTGGAAAATCAAAAGACAACATCCGGTGCCGCGAACGCTGGCGGTCACCTTGCTCAGCTACAATAGCCCCACCTTCAATCAGCTAATAACCCGCTACCGGGTGAACAATACCTGCAACTGCACGCGAGGTGCAGGGAGTAAAGTGAGTACTTCCAATTCAGTGAGTAATAAGAGTAAATAATAACTGAGAGGCAAGAAATCACGTAAGAGCACTCCATCATGCTATATAGGACAGTACAACTCTTTGAGAAAACAGTAAAACCGTGAAAATCCTTTAGAAAATATCTGGCTCAGTTTAAAACCTCTTTTGAAAACATCTTTTTCCAACAGTCAAGCAAATGAATGCGTAATCAGATAGTGCAAGTTCGCACATAAGTCAGTCCCTCGGGAACAACACACCACAAACAATTAACACCAGGGCGTCTGGTAATCAGTACAAGAAGTAGCATGGATGCCAGTGATATGAGAGTGTTGAATGTCATGACACGTAGTACAAACAGGAACCAATGCATGAATGCAATGCAATGCATATGACCGCTGCGGCGCGCAGCCCGATCCATTTGGGTACCCGCGCTTACTGTGGGGGTTCAGACTCCGGAGGGGCTCCTACAGCCCAAGCGCAATATCATCATAGTATCGCTGCGGCGTGCAGCCCGATCCAT